GCCCCCTCCCCTCCTCACAGCCTCCTCCCCTCCTCACAGCCCCCCCCTCCTCACAGCCCCCTCCCCTCCTCACAGCCCGCCCTCCTCACAGCCCGCCCTCCTCACAGCCCCCTCCCCTCCTCACAGCCCCCCCCTCCTCACAGCCCCCTCCCCTCCTCACAGCCTCCTCCCCTCCTCACAGCCCCCCCCTCCTCACAGCCCCCTCCCCTCCTCACAGCCCCCTCCCCTCCTCACAGCCTCCTCCCCTCCTCACAGCCCCCTCCCCCCCTCACAGCCCCCTCCCCTCCTCACAGCCCCCTCCCCTCCTCACAGCCTCCTCCCCTCCTCACAGCCCCCTCCCCTCCTCACAGCCCCCTCCCCTCCTCACAGCCTCCTCCCCTCCTCACAGCCCCCCCCTCCTCACAGCCCCCTCCCCTCCTCACAGCCCCCTCCCCTCCTCACAGCCTCCTCCCCTCCTCACAGCCCCCTCCCCTCCTCACAGCCCCCCCCTCCTCACAGCCCCCTCCCCTCCTCACAGCCCGCCCTCCTCACAGCCCGCCCTCCTCACAGCCCCCTCCCCTCCTCACAGCCCCCCCCTCCTCACAGCCCCCTCCCCTCCTCACAGCCCCCTCCCCTCCTCACAGCCCCCCCCTCCTCACAGCCCCCTCCCCTCCTCACAGCCCGCCCTCCTCACAGCCCGCCCTCCTCACAGCCCCCTCCCCTCCTCACAGCCCCCCCCTCCTCACAGCCCCCTCCCCTCCTCACATCCCGCCCCTCCTCACAGCCCCCTCCCCCCCTCACAGCCCCCTCCCCCCCTCACAGCCTCCCCCCTCCTCACATCCCCCTCCCCCCCTCACAGCCCCCTCCCCCCCTCACAGCCCCCTCCCCTCCTCACAGCCCCCTCCCCTCCTCACAGCCTCCCCCTCCTCACAGCCTCCTCCCCCCCTCACAGCCCCCTCCCCTCCTCACAGCCCCCCCCTCCTCACAGCCTCCTCCCCCCCTCACAGCCCCCTCCCCCCCTCACAGCCCCCTCCCCTCCTCACAGCCCCTCCCCTCCTCACAGCCTCCCCCTCCTCACAGCCTCCTCCCCCCCTCACAGCCCCCTCCCCCCCTCACAGCCTCCCCCCTCCTCACAGCCCCCTCCCCCCCTCACAGCCCCCTCCCCCCCTCACAGCCCCCTCCCCTCCTCACAGCCCCTCCCCTCCTCACAGCCTCCCCCTCCTCACAGCCTCCTCCCCTCCTCACAGCCCCCTCCCCTCCTCACAGCCCCCTCCCCTCCTCACAGCCCCCTCCCCCCCTCACAGCCCCCTCCCCTCCTCACAGCCCCCTCCCCTCCTCACAGCCCCCTCCCCTCCTCACAGCCCCCTCCCCTCCTCACAGCCCCCCCCTCCTCACAGCCTCCCCCCTCCTCACAGCCCCCTCCCCTCCTCACAGCCCCCTCCCCCCCTCACAGCCCCCTCCCCCCCTCACAACCCCCTCCCCTCCTCACAGCCCCCTCCCCTCCTCACAGCCTCCCCCTCCTCACAGCCTCCTCCCCCCCTCACAGCCCCCTCCCCTCCTCACAGCCCCCTCCCCTCCTCACAGCCTCCCCCTCCTCACAGCCTCCTCCCCTCCTCACAGCCCCCTCCCCTCCTCACAGCCCCCTCCCCTCCTCACAGCCCCCTCCCCCCCTCACAGCCCCCTCCCCTCCTCACAGCCCCCTCCCCTCCTCACAGCCCCCTCCCCTCCTCACAGCCCCCTCCCCTCCTCACAGCCCCCCCCTCCTCACAGCCCCTCCCCTCCTCACAGCCCCCTCCCCTCCTCACAGCCCCCCCCTCCTCACAGCCCCCTCCCCTCCTCACAGCCCGCCCTCCTCACAGCCCGCCCTCCTCACAGCCCCCTCCCCTCCTCACAGCCCCCCCCTCCTCACAGCCCCCTCCCCTCCTCACATCCCGCCCCTCCTCACAGCCCCCTCCCCCCCTCACAGCCCCCTCCCCCCCTCACAGCCTCCCCCCTCCTCACAGCCCCCTCCCCTCCTCACAGCCCCCTCCCCTCCTCACAGCCCCCTCCCCTCCTCACAGCCCCCCCCTCCTCACAGCCTCCCCCCTCCTCACAGCCCCCCCCTCCTCACAGCCCCCTCCCCTCCTCACAGCCCCCTCCCCTCCTCACAGCCCCTCCCCTCCTCACAGCCCCCTCCCCCCCTCCTCACAGCCCCCTCCCCTCCTCACAGCCCCCTCCCCTCCTCACAGCCCCCTCCCCTCCTCACATCCCGCCCCTCCTCACAGCCCCCTCCCCCCCTCCTCACAGCCCCTCCCCTCCTCACATCCCGCCCCTCCTCACAGCCCCCTCCCCTCCTCACATCCCGCCCCTCCTCACAGCCCCCTCCCCCCCTCACAGCCCCCTCCCCCCCTCACAGCCTCCCCCCTCCTCACAGCCCCCTCCCCTCCTCACAGCCCCCTCCCCTCCTCACAGCCCCCCCCTCCTCACAGCCTCCCCCCTCCTCACAGCCCCCCCCTCCTCACAGCCCCCTCCCCTCCTCACAGCCCCCTCCCCTCCTCACAGCCCCTCCCCTCCTCACAGCCCCCTCCCCCCCTCCTCACAGCCCCCTCCCCTCCTCACAGCCTCCCCCCTCCTCACAGCCCCCTCCCCTCCTCACAGCCCCCCCCTCCTCACAGCCTCCCCCCTCCTCACAGCCCCCCCCTCCTCACAGCCCCCTCCCCTCCTCACAGCCCCCCCCTCCTCACAGCCCCTCCCCTCCTCACAGCCCCCTCCCCCCCTCACAGCCCCCCCCTCCTCACAGCCCCTCCCCTCCTCACAGCCCCCTCCCCCCCTCCTCACAGCCCCCTCCCCTCCTCACAGCCTCCCCCCTCCTCACAGCCTCCCCCCTCCTCACAGCCCCCTCCCCTCCTCACAGCCTCCCCCCTCCTCACAGCCCCCTCCCCTCCTCACAGCCCCCTCCCCTCCTCACAGCCCCCTCCCCTCCTCACAGCCTCCCCCCTCCTCACAGCCTCCCCCCTCCTCACAGCCCCCTCCCCTCCTCACAGCCCCCTCCCCCCCTCACAGCCCCCTCCCCCCCTCACAGCCCCCTCCCCCCCTCACAGCCCCCCCCTCCTCACAGCCCCCTCCCCTCCTCACAGCCCCCTCCCCTCCTCACAGCCCCCTCCCCTCCTCACAGCCCCCCCTCCTCACAGCCCCCTCCCCCCCTCACAGCCCCCTCCCCTCCTCACAGCCCCCTCCCCTCCTCACAGCCCCCCCCTCCTCACAGCCCCCTCCCCCCCTCACAGCCCCCTCCCCCCCCTCACAGCCCCCTCCCCTCCTCACAGCCCCCTCCCCTCCTCACAGCCCCCTCCCCTCCTCACAGCCCCCCCCTCCTCACAGCCCGCCCTCCTCACAGCCCCCTCCCCTCCTCACAGCCTCCCCCCTCCTCACAGCCTGCCCCCTCCTCACAGCCCCCTCCCCTCCTCACAGCCTCCCCCCTCCTCACAGCCCCCTCCCCTCCTCACAGCCCCCTCCCCTCCTCACAGCCCCCTCCCCTCCTCACAGCCCCCTCCCCTCCTCACAGCCTCCCCCCTCCTCACAGCCTCCCCCCTCCTCACAGCCCCCTCCCCTCCTCACAGCCCCCTCCCCCCCTCACAGCCCCCTCCCCCCCTCACAGCCCCCTCCCCCCCTCACAGCCCCCCCCTCCTCACAGCCCCCTCCCCTCCTCACAGCCCCCTCCCCTCCTCACAGCCCCCTCCCCTCCTCACAGCCCCCTCCCCTCCTCACAGCCCCCTCCCCTCCTCACAGCCCCCTCCCCCCCTCACAGCCCGCCCTCCTCACAGCCCCCTCCCCTCCTCACAGCCCCCTCCCCTCCTCACAGCCCCCTCCCCCCCTCACAGCCCCCTCCCCCCCTCACAGCCCCCTCCCCTCCTCACAGCCCCCTCCCCTCCTCACAGCCTCCCCCCTCCTCACAGCCCCCTCCCCTCCTCACAGCCCCCTCCCCCCCTCACAGCCCCCTCCCCCCCTCCTCACAGCCTCCCCCCTCCTCACAGCCCCCTCCCCTCCTCACAGCCCCCTCCCCCCCTCACAGCCCCCTCCCCTCCTCACAGCCCCCTCCCCTCCTCACAGCCCCCTCCCCTCCTCACAGCCCCCTCCCCTCCTCACAGCCCCCTCCCCCTCCTCACAGCCCCCTCCCCTCCTTCCCCTCCTCACAGCCCCCTCCCCTCCTCACAGCCCCCTCCCCTCCTCACAGCCCCCTCCCCCCCTCACAGCCCCCTCCCCTCCTTCCCCTCCTCACAGCCCCCTCCCCCCCTCACAGCCCCCTCCCCTCCTCACAGCCCCCTCCCCTCCTCACAGCCCCCTCCCCTCCTTCCCCTCCTCACAGCCCCCTCCCCTCCTCACAGCCCCCTCCCCTCCTCACAGCCCCCTCCCCTCCTTCCCCTCCTCACAGCCCCCTCCCCCCCTCACAGCCCCCTCCCCTCCTTCCCCTCCTCACAGCCCCCCCCACAGCGCCCCCCTCCCCATTCACCTGCCACCCCTCCCTGCTCTTATTCCTTGCTCCCTTTCTCTCATTCGTCCCTCCTCTCCCTAATGCTTACTTCCCTCCCCTGCCCTTTTTCTCCTTTTAGCTTTCAATGTATCTGTTGTTTTCTAACTACCTAAGACCCTCTCCTGTATTCTGTCATATGAAAACCTGAGGTTTCACAGGCACTAGTATTGCTTTCACAAATGTTTTTTAAAGCTACCCACTCTTAGAACAAACCTATTAGGTGGTTGCTTATTTCTCAAAATTTGAATTCCACCAACAATAAAGAAATGACAGAAAAATAGCTGGAGATGACATGAATGTCTAAGACAACATAATGAGGCATCTTTTTTCCCATTGGGGGAAAAATGCTACTAATGTGAGCTCACTGAAGCATACATTATATTCAGTGCCAACAACTTTAGAGACAAAGAAGAAAAAGAAAAAATTATATAGGCATGCATGCGCACACGTATATACATGTCCACACACAGGTGTGCAGACTCAATCTCTTATCTAAAAAGAAAACTTCACTTACACAATGAGGGAGCCTGTGTATCTAAAAACCTCAGAAGAACATTCTGGAAAACAGGCAAACTGGACCCAGTAAGAGAGGCTGAAGAAATAGACTCCTTCTCATCGAGAGCTTCAGACTCACCACATCTCTGCTGGTTAAAAACAAAAAGATAGGGTTAATTACAGCAGTAACGAATTTGTTCATTTTTATTAACATTGGAGTTCCAAGATGAAACAGAAAATGACTTTAGATTTCTTTATTTACTTCAGAATCATGTGTCAATATCATGTGAATATAATTTCTAAGAGTTGGAAAGAACAACCCAGAAGCATTCGCCGCTTTTAGAGAAGTCTCAGAAGAGCAGCAAGGCCTGCCCCACACTGCGTGAGACTCTCAAAGTGGTGACAGAGGACATGCTCCTATCCCTGGGCAAAACCACTCAAAATCACCTTGGCACGTCTCACGCCCAAGGGCTCCAGTTGAAACGCACTCTCCCAAACTATTTGGCACGCATTACTTAATTTGACTATTTTGTGTTTTTGCACTTTTGTCAGGAAGGGGTACTAACGAATGCATTTGGAGTATCAAATGAGAAAGCAAACCTAATTCTAATACTCTTTTGTGAGTTTAGGGTGGTTCAAATAGCAGGGTGCCTGCCTGGCAAATTCAAGGATCTGAATTTAATCTTAGTACCACAGTAATAAAGAAAACTGGGGATAAAATGTGTTCACTGACAGTAAGAGGGAACATCTTATGAAACACAGCTACAAAGCTTCCACAGTAACTGACACTTTCTTAAACTCTGAGTTTACTAGAAGATCAGGACCAAGGCAGTTTAGAAACATTCATAATCTTGTTTTCTATTCTTTGTAAAATTCCTTTGATCATCCATTTTCGTTACTTACCTTTTTTTTTTGCTCAAGGAGAACGTTGTACCACTTGAGCCACAGAGCCACTTACAGTTTATTCTGTGTATGTGGTACTGAGGAATCGAACACAGGTCTTCATGCATGCTAGGCAAGCACTCTACCACTATGCCACAGGCTCAGCCCCGACTTACGCTTTAATTAACATATTCATCATACTGAATAAGATTACTAAGATATTGTTTATCCAAACCTCTAGGTTTAAAGGTCAAATTTTTAAATTTTGCTTGATATTATCTTAAACAATTCTGAGAAAAATATGTCTTTAGAAAAGGACACCTTTAAGGCCTATTAAAATTACTAGGCAGCCTACAAGTGAAAGCCCTTGTGAAAGCATCCTGCACACAGGTGCTGGGGCACACACACACACGTTCTGGGAAAAGAGGTGCAAAAGAGAAGCAACCTTACAGAGGCAATGAATGCCTGCAGGATTCAACTTCCGTTACTGGAGTCTGTCTCCGAGCAGTCACTTGTAACATACAGGAAGAAGCAGCGAGGGCTATTTCTAATGTGACAGGTTGACTGCTATACCTTGGCAGCAGTATTTGTTTTTTTCTTGTCAATATTGGGGGTTTGAATATTTTCAAGTTCTAATTTCAACAATGTGCTCTTTTGTTTTTGGCAAGCATAGCATTCCTAACAGGAGGAAACACCTGTAAAATGTTCTTTCCGTTTCACTTTTATAAGAGCTTCACAGAAGTCAATGTATTATCCACAACACACACAGAGTTTCCACGGTTCACTGAGCCTGTTCTGGGGATCAAGGGCAAAACCCTGAATGGACAGGCAAGTTCACTGAACGAAACAACAAGCAAAGTAGCTAGAGTGATGTGCTGTATAATGAGGAGGAGAGTGGGCTGGAAGAGAGTGGCTGAGGAGTCTCGGAGGCAGGCTTCAGAACCAGTGGTCAGGACTTCCCTGGCTTGGGGACTGGTTGCCTAGAACGCTGCTCAGCAGGCAATGCTCCTGAAACAGGAGCACCACAGAGAAGCCTGCATGCCAAGTTTGGGGAGAAGAATCTGCCATAGAGAAGAAACATCAAGGGCAAACGCCCAAAGTGCAAGTGAGTTTTCTGTGTTGGGGGAACACAAGGAACAACTTTAGGGCTAGAGCCAAGACCAGGAGATACAGGAAAGCAAAAAGGGCCAGGCCATGGTAATAATACTCTCTAGTGATCTAGTTACACCTCTAAAAGATCATTTTGGGTCCTGCACAGAGGATGGTGGAAAGGAAGAGGGAAGCAGAGAAACCCAGGAGGCCAGGAAGTTCTCCACGTGGTATATCTGAGGACCTCAGCACACCACACACCTTCCCTGTGGCCATCTCTGCCAATGCTACAGCAGAAAAGGAAGCTTGTCTGGAAATCCCCCTTCCACAAAAGCTACTGTTGATGAAGTTAGCTAAGAGTTTCTCCTTTATAATGAACATCTGAAGTTTAAATGGCTCCGCCTAACACAGGCAAATATACTCTCAAAAATATAAACTGGGGCTGGGAAGGTGGCTCAGTGGTGGAGCACTTGCCTTGCATGCATGAGGCCCTGGGTTCGATTCCTCAGCACCACATAAGCAGAAAAAAAAAAAAGCTGGAAGTGGCACTGTGGCTCAAGTGGTAGAATACTACCCTTGAGCAAAAGGAGCTCAGGGACAGTGCCCAGGCCCTGAGTTCAAGCCCCAGGGCTGGCAAAAAAAAAAAAAGACATCTTCTTTAGATTGACACCCCTTCCCTTTCATCAAGAGAAAAGAAAAGGTGAGTATAATAAGGGTAAAAGAGAAGTCACCCTCCTGCAGTACTGTGTTAACCTTATGAGATCCAATAAACAGAAAGAAAAACCTACCTCTGCCTCAATTTCTGCTTGTCTCTTCTCCAAGAGTTTGGCCACAGCCATGGCCCTGTGCTTGCCTGAGCGTTTGCAGCTTACAGCCCATTCACATAACAGTGTCACCACAGCTTCATCATTGGGAGCGACCTGAGGACCAGGGAAAAGAAAACCCACAAAGTCAAATGCTCCTTCACTCAACAGGAAGTGGGGAAAGGAAACAACAAAATGCTGAAAACAAGGATACAGGTTGACCCATTGTAACAATGAGATGTATAAGACACTATGTTAAGAACCAACTTTACAACCTGGAGGGGCGGGGAGGGGGGGGTGAAGGAGGAGTTGGGGAGGTGGGAAGGGAAGGGATGGTAACAATGCTCCATAAGAAATGTACTCATGACCTCACTCATGTAACTGTAACCCCTCTGTACAGTATTTTCACAATAAAAATATATATGAAAAGTCAGGGAGCAAGCAACTTCTGTTTCTGAAGCCTTAAAGCTTGCTTGCCATATTTCATTACAGCAGTGTTAGGAAATGGGCCCAAATAATTTTTAACTGAGGTATAAGGAGTAAAACTTTAGCCATGAAAAAGGAAGTATCAGTTACAATGAATTTTTGACAATTCTCGGAGAATTACTTTCCTTGTAGGCAGATGCCTTTACACACAGCCATAACCCAGCCCACCAGTCCCCTAGAACTCAATTTCAAATCCACACAAAAAGAGAAATGAGCAATAAAAACAGCTGCTAAAAAGTCTACATACTTCACTGTGAACACCAGGCCCTCAATTACCACCTCATCCTACCCACAATCCTGTCAGAAATCAGGTGACCAGGGGAGCCAGAAGGCTGACAGGAGACCCATCCCATCAGGAACAGCAAATGCAAGGAGTGGAAGCCAAGCATCAAAAATGAACAACTGCTTTTAAGCAGGCCAGGCCGGCAAGCAGCCTAGGACCACGCAGAGTACGCCAGTGCCCCTCATCACAGGCACTAGAGGTAGGCAGCCGTGACGGGGTGAGGAGCTCAGGGACCCAGGTGACAGGAGCAGCCGTGGAGGACAGCAGAGACTCTGCTTCTCTGCTTCCCTTCGAGTGCGCACACCAAGCGCTGGAACACCAACTGCAAAGTTGTATTCGCTATCTTCCCACGTGTGAACCTTATGCCAGACACAACGCATGATCACAGTTTCCCCTCCAATGCCATGTGAGCAGTTCTCAACACTGCAGAATCTCAAGTTTGGGGAAGAGTACAAGGCAGCTACAAGTGCACTTCTGGAAGAAAATTCACACACCTCTAGCCCAAGGTTTCCTGTGGATTCTGAGAAGATAACAGCAAATAGTTCATATTGTGAAATCAGTTTACTCCAAACCTATTTATTCACCCTGCCCTCAACTTAAAAACACATGTTGACTCAAAGCAAGTTATTATCTGGAGCAGATACCTCAAAGGGAGCCCTGGGTCTCTTAATTCAACTAATGTATGTAAACTTTTAGTATGGCACTGAAAACAACTGAGAAGCAGGAACTGACACTGACCACATCAGGGGTGGGCCTGGGGCCTGCTGTCACTCACTATCTGTGGAATGCATTCTTTTGTTTACCTTACCCACCCTCCTTCCCGTGTTCTCCAGTGCGTAAGAGGCACAGACCCTTGGACTAGGGCTGTGCCTCAGTGGCAGAGGGCTTGCATTGAGCATGTAAAGGCCCCAAATATGATGGACCACAGGAAAACCAAAGGGTAAAAAGGAAAGCAGAAACACACCACAAAGCCTGGAGAAAAACAAATGTAGACAAGCACAATCATGACAAAAATGGCTTTCAGATACTGGTGGTCAGGCCCGGTTTGGGCCAGGAAGTCCCATGCACAAGGCAAATAAAGAATATTTTCTGAGGCTGGGAAGATGGCTCAGTGGTAGAGCGCTAGCCTAGCATGCATGAAGCCCTGGGTTTGATTCCTCACAGAAAAGCCAGAAGTGGCGCTGTGGTTCAAGTGGAAGAGTACTCAAAAAGAAGTTCAGGGACGGTGCCCAGGCCCTGAGTTCAAGTCCCAGGACTGGCAAAAAAAAAGGATTCTGAATTTCTGCTACCAAAAACTCAGCACAAATGCATGTAAAACAAATACAAGCAACCCACATGCACACTTGAAGTTGGCTGGCGACGGTTTTAAGAGGGGGGGAAGGGGGAAGGACAGGGGGCGTCTGGCATCACACGCATCACACACACACACACACACACACACACACACACACTCTAACAACCTGCTCTATCCACGCATGCTGCTGCTGTCCTGCTCTATCTGGCTATTGATGACCTGTTCCATCCAGATGCTTTTTGACTACTCAGGACATTTTGCTCCCTGGGCCCCAAACAAAGAAGTGAAAGACAGCAGTTCCTGCCACCTTTGGATAATCTTTTCTGTCCATGTCCCCAAGGAGCCCAAAGAGGTAGCGGCCTCTTCTCCCAGGCCCTCCACCACCAAGGACAGAGGCCAAGAGGAAGGAAGTGGTATAAAGGCTCTGGAGACTGAGGCCCCAGCCCTGCTGCCTGGAGGCAAGGTCAGCGAAGACAGGTCAGTGCTAGAATCAAGGGTCCGTTGCCCCACCCTCTCAGGCTCGCATTCCGTCGCCATCCCCAGCACAAAGAGCTCTGGAGCACTAAACACATAAGCAAGTGCACACTGCTTACACGCACCAGCAGCAGCAGCTCAACAGCGACCGGCACATAAGCCACACACGCAGAACACACCGCTTAGCCTGCAGTGTTTGAGTCCTAGGAACTCCATATAAAACTTGACGATCCCCCAACAACAAATCCTCAAAGAAACAACTGCCCAATAAATAAGTGGCCTAAAGACTTAAAGAGAAATGTCTCTGAAGAGGAAAGAAGGATGGCCAATAGACACATGAAGAAATGCCCAATCTCCCTAGCCATAAAAGAAATGCAAATCAAAACAACATTGAGATACCACCTCACCACAGTTAGAATGGCTATAATCAAGAACTCTAATAACAACAGATGCTGGAGGGGACGTGGCCAGAAGGGAACCCTACTGCATTGTTGGTGGGAGTGTAAACTTGTTCAACCACTTTGGAAAGTAGAATGGAGGTTCCTGAAAAGACTCCACATAGAATTCCCTATGACCCAGCAATCCCACTTTTGGGCATTTACCCAAATGATCACAAACAAGACCATACTAAAGCTACCAGCACGACTATGTTTATTGCAGCATTATTTACTATTGCTAAGATATGGAACTAACCCAGATGCCCCTCAGCAGATGAATGGATCAAGAAAATGTGATATATATAGATATATATATAGATATCTATATATATATATAAAATGGAATTTTATGCCTCCATCAGGAAGAATGACATCGCCCCATTTGTTAGGAAATATAAAGACTTGGAAAAATTATATTAAGTGAAGTAAGCCAGGCCCAAAGAAACATAGTTCCCATTGTTTCCCTTATTTGCAATAACTAGCATATGTTTGGGACAAGCAGAAAAGGACAAAAGCTATGTACATATGACCAGATAAGATGATGTTAAGCGAAATGAACCCCAAGATAGGGACACAAGTGGTTTTTTCTTTCTTGCTATTGTTTCTAACGTATTTATAATGTACCATGTGATTTTTTTTGTTTCTTTGTATGTTCCTCCCCCACGGTATAACCCCTGTTTTCACTGTATTTGATGTCAGTCTAATTTAGGTAGGGGCAAGGGAAAAACAAAATGCTTAAATAGGGATACAGGTTGACCCACTGTAACAATGAGATGATGTACAAGACACTATGTTGAAAAACTTTACAATTTAGACAGGGGGTGGGTAGTTGGGGAGGTGGGAGGGGAGGGATGGTAGGGGGAAAACAAAGGCAACAATGACAGGAAATGTACTCATTACCTTGGTCACATAACTTATTAAAATTAAAAAAAAACCTTGCTGAATAAGTAACCATAAAGGTTTCAGCATTTTTTTTCGCCAACTACAACACCCAAGCGGTGGTACATAAGCTCTACAGTGAGAGAGAGGGCTACAAACAGTGTGTTCCATAGGGACAGGGCGAGTCGGAGCACAGGGCACAGCCGCCCTCACTCCAGTGACACGGGCACGTCCCAGATGTCCCAGGGCTTCATCTGACGCATCACAGTCCCAACTGGCTTTCTCCTAATAACGAAAGCAATTACACCCATCTGAACCTAGTACCCCTGTCTCCTTCGCTCTGCACAGACGACCTCCCTACTCTCTACAAGGAAGTAGAGAAGACCAGACGTTACATCAGCAGTTCCAAAGAAAAGAGAAGGGAGAGGGTGAAGTGGGAGTTTCCCAAGCAGTAGTGGTGAAGTAGGCTGTGCTAGCCAGAGCCGTAGCAGTCCTCGACACCGCTTCCGGTACAAGCAAGCTCAAAACCACTTCAGCCCCCTGCCTTCGTTCACATACCAGCTCCATCATATTGGCTTCTCAGATATAACACTGATAACAGTGGCTATTTTACTTTTATTCACAACAGCACCTTCTGTCATAGTCCTCAAAATGCCGTTTCCTTAGAGATGAACATTGTGGGCACTGTACTTATTAACAAATGAGGGTGCTGGACACACATTCTGGAATCAGTCGGCTCAAGGTCACACGGAGATGCTGTGGCTCACACACAGACCTACACATTCAGTGACTCCGCTGTGGAAACCACAGTAAAAGTAAACGGAAGGACAAAACGTCATTATTTTCAAACCATGTTTTAAAGTAATTCAGTATTACGTATTACAGACAGTCTGGTCACTCAGGTTATTTTTGTGGCCAAATAGGTGATCTGTCTGGTTGCAGACAAAAAATCTATTTTATCCTCTCACAGAACAACACATTAACCACAAAACCATGGTGCTCTTGCACACACCGTCTCTTTCCAGAGTCAGCCAGGGTCCGATGAGAGGCCTGCTGGTGCCTTGGTCTCAAGTCCTGGGCACACACTGCCCTCTGGTGGGCTTTTCTGGGAAAAACTGTCTCTATGTACATATTACCTACACCACCACAATAGTTTTGTCTATTATAAACTTTTAGATGACTGTAGGTGTAGGGTTTTATTTGGGTGGTTTTCTAATCTATTCCATTGATCATTGGGTCTATTTTTGTGCCAATACCAAGCTCTTTTTGTTATTATGGCTCTGAAGTAGAATTTGAGATCTGGTATTGTGATACCACTTGCATCGCTTTTACTTTTTTCTTTTTTCTTTCTTTTCTTGTTTGCCTACAATTGTTTTGTTGTCTTCGGCTGTTCTCTGTGTTTGGATTGTTTTCTCTATATCTGTTAAGAACATCATTGAGATTTTGATGGGGATTGAACTGAATTTGTATATCATCTTTGGCAGTATGCCCATTTTCACAATATTGTTTCTACCTATCCCTGGTGTCCTCTTTGGTTTCTTTAAATGTAGTAGAGGGCTGGGAAGGTGGCTCAGTGGTAGAGCACTTGCCTTGCATGCATGAGGCCCTGGGTTCAATTCCTCAGCACCACATAAGCAGAAAAAAAAAGCCAGAAGTGGCGCTGTGGCTCAAGGGGTAGAGCGCTAGCCTTGAGCTGAAGAGCTGAGGGACAGCGCCCAGGCCCAGAGTTTAGGCCCCATGACCGGACCCCCCAAAAAAATGTAGTAGAAACAGAAGTTTAATGTCTACCAAAGTGAAATGCTTCATTCCTCACTTAAGATAGATGAGCTTTAGTGAGAACCCTGAAGAGGGTGTGATTTATTAAAAAATATCACAACATACAATTTGCGTTGCTGTTCAGAAACATAACAACACAATTTCTGACCTTGTTTTCAGTTTCCCCTGAAACACCTGTGGACAATGTGAATTTCCTTGAGGGAACGAGGCGATGGTTCTGAAGCTGGATATAACAGTCAAGTAACAACGGGCTGAAGTACTCTGATGGATTTGGCAACTTAGCACAGAAACTCAGCAAACCTCCCAATGAAAAAACAGAGTGCTTTCCAAGCCCTTTTATCTAAGAACACCCTATCACAGAGACAGCTGCACAGCACCTATCCAGACTTGGCCTCAGTGAGCAGAGAACTTTGCAGAACAAAATCAGCCCGCTCTCTTGTGCGTGTCAACAGCCAGTCACAAGAGGCAGAGCCTCCAGTCTGTACCTTGCTCCATCTGATGCTGGACCCTCCCTACTTGACACCTCCAGTCTTGATCCTGGTCTGTAAGCCCTTGTTAGAAGGCTGCTATGGGTATCAGGCTCACATAAGGCAGGAATAGTCAAGGTTCAGGCTTTTGTTGCTTCACCTTTCATTTCTACACATGCATACCCAGAGGCAACAATGAAAGTTGTTTATGATAACGTCTTAAGACTTACTCCTTGATTTCTTTTGTCTAGCATAACTCTACATAAATTGAAGATGGGCATGTTTGGTTGCAGGGAAAAAAATCTTTTTATTTCTTCCAAGTAAGACTGGCATAACAATTAAAAGTACCATGTTTATAGAGCAGTCACTGTTGAAACAAGCTATTACTAGGAGAATATAAAACCTGCGCTAATGTTGCATGCCTACTGGGCTAGTCCACATAATCAATTCCTGGTCAGACATCAGCTGTGGCTACAGATATGTGGATATGATTAACATTGAAATCCATAGACAGAATAAAGTAGACCAACCTCCACAACGTGGTCGGTGTTATCCAGTCAAGTGAAAAAAGCCCTGTCAGTAAGACACAGGCCCCCAGAAAAGAAGTCTGTCTCCGAGAAGATTCAGACAACACTTCCCTGAGTTTGCACTTGCCCCCCACACCTGCCATCCTCAAGCCAAACCAATAGCACTGTCTCCTCTGTCAAGCTAGAGAAGTATACATAAAAAGACAGACAGACACACACACACACACACACACACACAAAACACACAGAGTTATGCTTTCTTTATTGGTTCTGAATCTCTGTATTCAAAGATTTTTCAGTCAATTACCACAAATTTTCACAGCCTGCCCTCTGCTAGGCTATCAATATACCTTCCCTCTAAATTAAGCCAAAGCATGTTTGTATAAAGTCCAATCATGTAACTATAGCAAGCTAAAACTAAAATGAAGAGGGATGGTAAAAGATCCAAGAGAAAACTTTCCCACTGGTCTCTTGACATAGTCAGCCAAATACGGCTGATTTTTGACTCATCCAACAGAGAAAGACCTCCAAGGCCATGCGCTTCCTAAGACATCATACACGTCACAGAAAAAGCTGTCCGAGATTAAAGAAAGAGAAAGAAATAAGCAAGCATCTCTTTTTGTCCTGTTTGTTTGTTTGTACGAGGAGATAAGCAAGGGCACAGAAATGGAGGGGCAAAGGGTAAACAAATGCAGCAGTGACATAGTGTCACTAAACACTAGCATGAAGATGAAGGATACAACTTGTGGATAGGGACAGGAGGAAAAAAAAAGAGTGCAGGAAGGGGTGACACTGTGCGAAAAGAAATGTACTCATTGCCTGACATTAAATTGTGCGAAAAGAAATGTACACATTACCTGACTTATAAAATGGTAATAACAACCAGAAAATACTTAATTAAAAGAAGCTAAGGAAACAAAAGGCAAAAGAAGAAATAAAATATTAACTATACCTCCTGGTTGTCTTTGTTTTGGTTTGCCCAGAAAACCTTATGATAAAGTGTCTCCATTGAATTGCTGGGATCAGTTCGGTCAAAACAGTGACGATCCAAGACCTCCAGTGTGTGCAAAACCCGACCAATTGTCACCCCTGGAGACAGAAAGTAAGCAGGCAGCTAAAACAGACCAAGTGAAACCAGATAGCGGAGTGTAAAATCATCACTATGTAAGGCAATGGGCATGCCACGCATCATTCTCAGCACATACTAAGAAGCAAAGAACTGCCAACAGCACCCAACGGGACCTTCCCCACACAGCCATAGCCAAGGAGTGGCCTCAAATCAATGCTTCCTTTATTCATGTGGTTGTCCAACACGCCAAAGCACTCACTCTTTTGTCGTGTTCTGTACCTGCTGTTGACTCTTGGCACTTGTCAAAAGACCACCGAACTTCCACTGCACGGCCTCTTTGTTTTATCTGCTGCTCAACCTCATAAATCCTTGCCCGAACCTGAAAGATAATTGCTTCTAATTAACTTGTGCTTCAGGCACCACAGTGGCTGTCTAAAAATCAAGCTTTTCTGCTAGAATAGAATTCCCTAGAGTGAGCCTCAATCTTCAGTGCAAGGTAGGAAAAAATGCAGAATGCAATCCAAGAAGTTCATTGATTACGTTTTACATTGACACATGGTGACTCAGTGTCAGTTTTGGATATGAAATGTACAAGAACACCTAGCCAGGTGCGGGTGACTCACACGTGTAACTACTCAGGAGGCTGAGATCTGAATATCCCAGTTCGAAGCCAGTCTAGGCAGGAAAGTCTCTGAGACTCCTACCTCCAATAAACTCAGAAAAAGCTGGAAGTGGCATTGTGGCTCAAGTGATAGAGTGCTAGCCTTGAGCAAAAGAAGCTAATGGATAGCACCCAGGCCCGGAGTTCAAGACACAGGACTGGCATAAAAAAATTTTTTTAAAACTACAAAAATATTAATAAGTGAAATATCTCTAGGACACCAAAAAGAAAGGTACAAATATTAAAATACTCTCTGTAAGCCATTATCTATTCAAGAAAGCAAACTACCAACATTTATGTAATTTAAAAGCTGGTAAAAAAGGATCTTACTGTATTATTAGGTTTATTCTAACTCCTGAGGTTCTATTTGCAAGAATCCTTGAAGCAACACAGTACTAATGATGTAACAGTATCACAAACTGCTATTATGGGAATATGCTCACGTATTAGAATCACGACCAAAGTTATTGTCTGGATGACAGAACTGTCAACAACTACCACCCAGCATGGGAACAAGGAGCAACCCTCAGGAACCTCTGAGGGTCACAGAGGCAAAAGAAACCCAAGGTGTCCAGGGAGTTAGGGGAGAGCTGGTAAAGATGCTCAGGTACCCCAGGTGCTAAACTGAGACTTGGGCCGCTGGCCTGACACCTCTGGAGAAAACAAAACAAAACATCCACCAACCCACTGACGTGGAGGACTACCTGCTGATTGAAAGCTGTGTTCCCGCCGGGCATGGGGAGGCTGGAGGGCGCCACCTGCAGCAGGTCCAGGGGTGAGCCTGGGGCCGTGCTCTTATTTTCATTGGAGGAATAGTTCCACACCAAGGCACTTGGGCAACAGAGAGCGACAGTCTAAGAATGGAGCAGGGAGAAATCCAGACACTCAGAGAAAGGAGAGACGCGTGACACGTTTCACAGCAGATATGACACCTTAGCATCGCTATAGACTATTCTCCTACTAAATTTAAAGTACATTCTCAACTTTTTCCAAATGGCCAGACAAACTAAGAATTATTCATTTGAAAGGGAAGAAGTATAACCACTGAGAAATTAAGGAGTAGTAACATTTATTAGCTATCTTCCAGCATTGGAAGCTGTCACTTCAAATGACACAGTAATTACAACATTTAAGTTCTAAGGTTATAAAATCTAAATTAATCTCTTTGAAATCACTCAAGTAGCACAACAAGCCATTTCCTAAATGTGAGGAGGGCAATACCAGAAGTTAGCAAACTTTTGTATGAAAATCCAGACAGCAAATACTTTAAGCTTATGTGTCCCACACTCTCCTCTTCTGATGTTGTTTTAATAATCCCTTGATCTGTACATTATTTACATTATTTTTATGTGATCAGTCTAATTAGTTAGATGTCACACCATTCTCTGAGCTAGGTGGTATTCCTCCAATTCTACCAAGCAACAGAAGAGATTTGTCACTGGCTCAAGTCTGGTCCCTGCAACTGTGCTCTGAATCCTTGTGCTACCCTGTTATCCTCTGAACACTTATTCAGCACCCAAGTAGCTGTTGATCACTACATCACTACAGCCTCCCCCTAGGAGGGAATGGGACAGGAGTTCTCATCCTCCACTCACACATGCGACACGAAGTTGCAGAGAAACATCCGGTCTATGGTGATTCTCACTATCCACTATGCTACCACACCCCTGTCCGCAGTACACGAGCACAGAGAACAAAGGCAATGCAACGCATTCTGAGGCCTGAAAGACATCCTTGTGTAGAGTAGATGGCAGATGCAAAGAACTTCAAGTCCCCGAACTCCACCAACACATCTGTCTCCACTAGTCCACACCCCACCACCTCCCTCCTGCCCAGGCAGGCACAGACTGTCATTCCTGATCATATGCCTGAAGCCAGCACACCAACAGATGTCCAAGGACCACACAGGCATCAGTGTCTGACAGAGGACCACAGCCTGATAAGCTGTCTGTCCCGAAGAGCAGTAATGCAGCTGACCTTCTGTATGTGTGTTCAGTGAATGATTCTGACTGCCCAGTGGCCTTAACAAAGTACCACTGCAATACCTCCTTCCAAATAGATGCAACAAATCTCAGCCTCCATATAGAGCAATACATTTCAGGAAATTCATTAGACTTAAGACATGATAGCTGAAAGTTCTATTTTCAACCCATTGTTTCCCATGCCAAATTTTAAAATAAACAAGCCGTGGACTTACCTGTAACATACAACTGAGTCCATAAACCAGGGGGCCATGCTGTGCACAGGAAAGGAAGTCCGAGAATGCCAGCTGCACAGGTATCATGCCAGGGCCGGGGGGTCCGGGGCTGGGGGCCCCGATGCCTGCAGTGCCTGGTCCGATCATCATGTGAGGTGAGTGAGCAGCCAGCAGGCTAGGGCTGTCACTCAGCAGCAAAGAGAGACGCCGGGCACAGAAGTAGGCAAGACGTCGGGACAGGTAGGCTGACTGAACAAATTCGTCTGAATACTGAGGAAAACGAGAGCAAATAACTAACACAGACCTGAAACTAGATGGACCAATACCATCCATCAGAAATACAATGCAAGATACATACATAAATTTTCTGATAACTATTTAAAAAATAATAGGCAAAATTAAAAGAGTAATATGTTGTAATTATCCCAATATAACCAAAATGTTATCATCTGAACACAGATCAATCTGAGGAGTATTACCGTATACACTAAATCGATAACCTGATGTATGCTTTAAACACAGTTCACACTGAGCACGCTTCCAGTCCAGTGCTCGGCTGCCCCTCAGGAGAGGGCACAGCACTACAGTTCCAGCGAGAACTGTGGTTCTCCAGATACTCTTCCATATCACATGCTCATCACATGCAGGTACTCCTCCAGGAAGAATAGTTTTGACAAGACTCACCCAGATAACCTCAACTTTCACAGCTCTCAGACAAATCATTATATTCTTTAAATGAGGTAATTTGTTTTCTTTTCACAGTCTTTGTGAACAAGGATACAGTATGTAAAGAACTGCTTGCATAGTACAGACATAAGAAAGAAAAAGTGTGGATGAGATTACATGAAGATGAAAGCCACAAAGTTAGTTAACACAAATGCTGCAATCCAGTAGAAGCATCTCATGACTTCATAGATCAGAGCATTTAAGATGTTTTTCCTTCTGTTTCAACAGGAATGTTTTTCTATCCCTCATGACTTAGCTAGTCATTCTTATTAGTCTCATGTTCTGCCCATAAAAATCAACTGGCTCAAGGTGGCATGTACCATACCTGCAACATTAGTGGTAACAAGAGTTTAAGAAGATCGTCATCCATTGGTCTGATTTTCTCTAGAACATCCAAGATCCATGTAAGATATTCATGCTTTTCCAGCATTCCTTCCTTAAATGAGCAAAAATAGTACAATAACAATGTTAAAGAAAAACTAAGTTTTTAAAGGGACATTATCCTTCTTTTGCTTAAGTGTAACTGAACCATTGTTTTACTAATAAAGTAAGACATGGTCTCACTAATCACAGTCCCAATTCTAAATATATTTCATATATTTGGTTTGGGGTTTGTGCTCCTTTTATTTGGTAATCTGCTTTACTCTAAACAGTAAATTTAACAAAAACTGAAAAATAAGGAAACTCAGAAAGTATCATACTCCCAGGACAAATTGGACCCTGGCAAGATTTTAATTGAGGGAATGTGAATGAATAGAGGAGATCTGGAACCGGTGATGATTATAAAGAAAAGCACTGCCCATGTATATTATCATCTCAACAAAACCTGTACCCTTAGGAGCCTTCCTCGCTGTTCTAAAGTGACTGGGATTACAGCATACATATAAAAATAAAACCTTACAGAGTGGTAGACTTGAGCAAAAGCAGCTCAGGGACAGCATCTAGACTCTGAGTTCAAGCCCCAGGACTAGCGAAATAGATAAAAACTTAAAAATCAATTTAATGCAGGATGCTGGCAGCTCACACCTGTAATCCTAGCTACTCAGGAGCCTGAGATCTGAGAACTATGGCTCAAAGACAGCCCAGGCAGAAAAGTCATATCCAATTAACCACTCAAAAACCAGAAGTGAAGCAAAAAGAACCATGAGTTGAAGCCCCATGACTGACAGAAAAGAAAAAACAAAACAATCAATTCAGTGATTATATAAATAGGGGAAATGCAGAATAAAATCATACGTAAGTAGTCCAACATAACCATGCTAAAAAATAACATTTCTACAGATCTTCAAATCCCCCTGGGTGGAGGCGCTCCACCAATCCCCTGCTTTAATCCCACACACTAGAGCTGCGCCCAGGCTAGCCAGGGGCTCTTGTGTGACATCCCCAGCCACACCACTGATCTTGGCAAACACCGTAAGCATCCAATATCAGCATTCTTCATCCACTACCTTCATACACATACACACAGACATAAATGCATTGTTTCATGGCATTCTGAGCATCTACAGTCAACATCACAATATACTTTTGTACTGTGATTCAAGAATGAATCTTCTAAACAGAAACAAAGAGCTGTGATTTCTTAAGACACCCTTGCAACCAACTTAGTAATTAATTAGGAATTCTGCCCTGTTCTGGTAACTTTTATGTATTACTAGTGATCTACTACAACGGTTATTGAGACTTTATATAATGATAAGCTATAGTTGCTGTATTTTTACAATTACAGTAACACTATATTTGACAAGACTTTGACGAAATATTTACTTGATAATTTCTAGTTTTAAAAATACTGAGAGTAGCCAGGTGCTGGTGGCTCATGTCTATAATCCTAGGTACTCAGGAGGCTGAGATATTAGGATCACAGTTCAAAGTCAGCACAGGCAGGAAAGTCCATGAGACTCTCATCTCCAATATACACAGAAAAGGCTGGAGTGGTGCTGTGGCTCAAATGGTACAGTGCTAGCTTTGAGCATAAAGAGGATCAAGGACAGAGTCCAAGCCCTGACTTCAAGCCCCAGGACTGGCAAACAAAAAAAAAAAAATCAAAAGGGATCAATAGTTTATTTAACAAACAAAAAAGACCTAAGTGGCGCTGTGGCTCAAGCAGTAGAGTGCTCACCTTGAGCTGAAGAGCTGAGGGACAGCGCCCAGGCCCACAGGTTCAAACCCCACGACCAAAAACAAAAGACCTAAATTGTAAATTAGCTCTTAAATGAAAGTATAAGACATACGTGAACTTTTAATAAAAGAAGATTTGTCGATCTGAATAAACAAACATGTTTAAAATAGATAAAGCAGAATTTTGCATTCAAGTATAAGATATGTAAAAATAATCTAGCTACTCAGGAAGCTGAGATGTACAGATCTACAGGCAAACTAATCCAATTGGCCAGTAAAAATCGAGAAGTAGAGGCGTGGTTCAAGTGGCAGACTGCCAGCCACAAGCAGAAAAGGCCAAGTGAGCGCTCAAGACAGTGTTAAAAACCAGGCAAAAGAAGGAAGGGAGAGGAGAGGAGGGGACACAGAGCTGGAACAGCGAAGGGAGGAAGGGAGAGGAGAGGAGGTGAGGGGACACAGAGCTAGAACAGCGAAGGAAGGAAGGGAGAGGAGAGGAGAGGAGGTGAGGGGAGGGGACACAGAGCTGGAACAGCGAAGGAAGGAAGGGAGAGGAGAGGAGAGGAGAGGAGGTGAGGGGAGGGGACACAGAGCTGGAACAGCGAAGGAAGGAAGAGGAGAGGAGAGGAGGTGAGGGGACACAGAGCTAGAACAGCGAAGGAAGGAAGGGAGAGGAGAGGAGAGGAGAGGAGAGGACACAGAGCTGGAACAGCGAAGGAAGGAAGAGGAGAGGAGAGGAGAGGAGAGGAGAGGAGGGGAGGGGACACAGAGCTGGAACAGCGAAGGAAGGAAGAGGAGAGGAGAGGAGAGGAGAGGAGGGGACACAGAGCTGGAACAGCGAAGGAAGGAAGGGAGAGGAGAGGAGAGGAGAGGAGAGGAGGTGAGGGGAGGGGACACAGAGCTGGAACAGCGAAGGAAGGAAGAGGAGAGGAGAGGAAAGGAGACAGAGCTGGAACAGCGAAGGAAGGAAGGAAGGAAGAGGAGAGGAGAGGAGAGGAGAGGAGAGGAGGGGAGGTGAGGGGACACAGAGCTGGAACAGCGAAGGAAGGAAGGAAGGGAGGGGAGGGGAGAGGAGAGGACACAGAGCTGGAACAGCGAAGGAAGGAAGGAAGGGAGAGGAGAGGAGAGGAGACAGAGCTGGAACAGCGAAGGAAGGAAGGAAGGGAGAGGAGAGGAGAGGACAGGAGACAGAGCTGGAACAGCGAAGGAAGGAAGGAAGGAAGAGGAGAGGAGAGGAGAGGAGACAGAGCTGGAACAGCGAAGGAAGGAAGGAAGGGAGAGGAGAGGAGAGGAGAGGACACAGAGCTGGAACAGCGAAGGAAGGAAGAGGAGAGGAGAGGAGAGGAGAGGACACAGAGCTGGAACAGCGAAGGAAGGAAGGAAGGGAGGGGAGGGGAGAGGAGAGGAGACAGAGCTGGAACAGCGAAGGAAGGAAGAGGAGAGGAGAGGAGAGGAGACAGAGCTGGAACAGCGAAGGAAGGAAGGAAGGGAGAGGAGAGGAGAGGAGGGGACACAGAGCTGGAACAGCGAAGGAAGGAAGGGAGGGGAGGGGAGAGGACACAAGGCGTGGGAGACCCCCTCCTCCGCTCCATGTGCCCTGGCCTGCCTGCGCTCTTGCACACACACACACCACCGCACATCTCAGGTACAGATTTTTTTAAGACAGCATTTTTAATTTGATACTGTTTTAAAATGCTTTCTACATTAAAAATAACGATGCCAATGTTTCTAATACATAAATTAATACTTTCAAAAATGTTAAGCATGCAAAGAAATACTTTTTCCAAGACACAAACTGAACTCTGAGCTCAGGAAAACTCATAAAAATTCAGGGCAGGCACTGAACTTACTTCAGGATGACTCAAGTATTTCTATGCTAAACGGGATTAGATTTGTAAGAGCTATTTTCATTGACTTAAAACAATGCTATTTCACAAAACACCATGCTTTTTGTTGGTGGTGGTGGTGGTCATGGGGCTTGAACTCTGGGCCTGGGCACTGTCCCTTTGAGCTCTTTAGCTCAAAGCTAGCGCTCTACCACTTGAGCCACAGCGCCACTAATGGGTTTGTGGTGGTTTACTGGAGATAGGAGTCTCACAGACTTTGCTGCCTGGGCTGGCTTTGAACCACGATCCTCAGATCTCAGCCTCCTGAGTTGCTAGGGTTACAGGCATGAGCCACCAGCGCCCAGCCCATGCTTTTTTTTTCTTTTTTTAACTACACTGAGCTCAGAAAAAGTCACTTACCACCTGGATATTTTACTAAAGGGGACATTTAGAAATGCATCCCCTTCCTCCTTAATTCTAAGACCCTACTTAACTCCCAGAAAACAAAGCACAGCCACAGCCACATGCTGGACACTCTCTACGTGTGTGTGCATGCAAGGATAATGTCACCCAGCCACACGCTGCAACGCCGGTCCCGGTCCTTATGCAGCACACAGATTCGGGCGCACAGAAAGGCCACCTGGAACATGTGGAATGCCAGCTTCTCATGGTACTCCCACTGCTTCATGGCCTGCTCCACCTCGGCAGACACAGGCACAGGGCCATCGCTTGTGCAGGAGGCCATGTGGTAAAAGTCAGAGATCTTGACCAACTGCTCTCGAAGGTATCTAGTAGATATCTGTGTCCACTCTGAAAGAAAAAAAATATTCTGAATTCTGGACAAAGGTATGAGAATGATACATTGTCCTCTCCCTTTCTGATTATGTTGAGAATGTTCCTATAAATCAAATTGTGTGTGTATGACAGAGAGAAAGAGAGACACTGGGGTTTGAACTCAATGCCACACTTTCCAGATAAGCACTCTTATCGCTTGAGTCCACAGATTACATTAAAAACGGTTCTTGCCTGTGTGGTACTAGTCAGAAAACATGCCCACTCCAAAGCCCTTAAGTACATCACCTTAGTGTAAAGGTTCCTGCCCCATAAAAGTCTCTCAGGAGGAACTACTGTGCTTCTATACAACCCTTACCCAAAAAGAAAAGACATCCACTTAAGCAGCATGCTAATGGCTCATGCCTTCTGTATGTCATTCTACTATTCAGGAGGCTGAGTTCCAAAGGTCACAGTCTGAAGTCAGCCAAGGCAGAAAAGTCCAAAAGACTCTATCTCCAGTTAACCAGCAAAAAAGCTGGACTGGAGGTGTGGCTTACCTGGTAGGATGGCAGCTGTAAGTGAAAAAGCCAAGCAAGAGTGCAAGGCGCTGAGTTCAAGCCTGAGTGCTTGCTCCAACTTAACACGCATACCAAAAAGCTTTAAGGCATTCAACTCCAGTAATAAACCAGTTCAAAAAGATGATTCAATACTAGGTCTACACTGTTCCTAGTTTAGCAGTTTTTCAGAAAGCACCATTGATTGATTGTGGATATTATCTTTGAAACGGATCCATTTGCAGTAAAAACAAAACATTAAACAATCAATTGCCAGCATCATCTTCTTGTGTCCCTGTAATGAACTAATGGTTTCATGACACTTGCTTCACAAAACAAAATGACAATCACCATTAAATGAGACATGTTTGGTTTGGCTATAATAAACAAAAGCAAAAGTAACAAGATCACAAATGCTAGCCTTCATATGCCTGGCCTTGCTATTAACTTACTCTTTCTCAATATGGTACTATTCTCAACACCCCCACAGAGTATTTTAGCCAAGAGCTAAAAATAATGCACACACTTGCTGCACACCCCTAACTTTGTCTTCTTGAAACTGATTTTTAAAATACAGGACAAATACATGTTTATTACAGAAAACTGTAGCTATGAAAAGAATGGAAATAATCTGCAATCCCTTTGCACACACCCTTTAATTTGGTGAAGGCTCATCTTCCTGGCTACAGTATTTCCTTTTATCCAAACGAATGGGAATTTACTCGGTGAAATGAATATACTAAGATTTTGTTTTAGTTTTTGTTTGTTTGGATTTTGGCTTTTTTCTGCTGTCCCTAGGCTCGAACTCAGGGCCTGGGCACTGTCCCCGAGCTTTTTCAGCTCACGGATAGTGTTCTACCACTTGTACCACACCTCTGCTTCCAGCCTTCCTTCCGGTGACTACGTGGAGATAACAGCCTCAGACTTTCCTGCCTGGGCTGGCTCTTACAAGCCTCAGATCTCAGCCTCTGAGCAGCTAGAATTACAGGCTTGAGCCACTGATGCCCAGCTTCTGTTTTCCAAACCCAAACTTGTCCATTAATAGCAAGCATGTGTTTAGAAGACCTACTTAAGTCTAAGACATAAGGCAACCTCTTTCCTTGGAACTTTCTGGAAATCCCTGTTAAAGCTAGGTGGGCCAAATGCCAAAAGTAGATCCCTGTTTGTTACCATGCACAAATAACTCAAAGTAGATCAAAGACCTCAACGTCAATAGGCAAAGGCAGAACCTTCTTGAAAAGAGTCCCAGGGCACAGTAGATAGCAGAAACTTGACAAATGGGATTACATCAAACTAAAAAATGTCTGCACAGCAAAGGACATAGTTACTAAACTAGAAAGACAACCAACAGACTGGAAGAACATCAGACACAGGCCTAAAATCCAAAATATACAAGGAGCTCAAGAAACTAACAAAGCTAATAAATCAATCACTAAAGAGACAAAGGAGCTAAGGAAGAGGCAAGAATGGCAAAGGAAAAGGAGGAAATGTTTGTCCTCCCTGGCCATAAAGGAAATGCAAATCAAAACAACTCTGAGATTCTATCTAACCCCAGTTAGACTGACCAACATTGTGAACTTGAACAACAACAAATGTCGGAACAAATAATGTCGGCAGGGATGTGGGGAAAAGGAACCCTGTTGCACTGTTGGTGGAAATGCAAACTAGTACAACCACTGTGGACAGCAGTCTGGAGGTTCCTCAAAAACTAAACATAGATCTTTCCTACAACCCAGCCATACCAATCCTGGGCATCGACTCAGATCAGAACATCACAAACCAGGATACCGTCAAGACGCTCCAACATCGGTGATCACTGCTCACTATTCACAACAGCTAAGTTGTAGAAACAGCCCAGATGTTACAGTAGAGGAGTGGCTCTGAAAATGTGGTACCTGGACACAATAGAATTTTACACCACCATCAGAAAGAATAAGATTATGTCATCTTCAGGGAAATGGATAGATCTAGAACATATCATGTTAAGTAACAAATGGCAAATGTTTTTCCTCATACGTGAACATTAGATCTAAAATACTGGGACACAATAAATTATACAGGTCCCTAGGCATTCCCACACATTGAAACCAAATTAGGATTCTCTTAAGAGAAAAAAAAAAAAGCACAATGCCTATGTGCATCTGATCAAACAAAATATTATTTATTGAAATGAACTCCAGAAAGTGAAAACAAGAGGATTTTTTTCTTTTTTGCTGTTTTGTTTCCTTTCCTTTTTGTTTTATGTGTTTCTTTATGTGTCTTTGGGAAGTAAGGAGAGGCACAGACATGGAGGGACAAAGTGTGAACAAATGCAGCAGTGTCACTCAGTGGACACTATGTTGAAAATGAATTATACAAATTATGGGTGGGGATAGGAGAGAAAAACTGGGGCAGAGCAAGGGATGAGGTGACACTGTCTAAAAAGAAATGTACTATTTTCCTGACTTATGTAACTATAACCCCTCTGTACACGATAACAACAATAACATTTTTTTTGTCGGTCCTGGGGCCTGAACTCTAGGCCTGGGCGCTGTCCCTCAGCTCTTCAGCTCAAGGCTAGCGCTCTACCACTTGAGCCACAGCACCACTTCCGGCTTTTTCTGCTTATGTGGTGAGGAATCAAACCCAAGGCCTCATGCATGCAAGGCGAGCACTCTACCACTGAGCCACCTTCCCAGCCCCTAAAAATAACAATTTTTAAAAGTAAACATTTTAAATAATTTTTATAATAATTTTATATGTAGTAATTTTTACAAAGATAGGTAGAGGGCAAACAGGCTTTATGATGCACTTCTACACCATCGTATCTGAAATGTTCATGATGAAGGCGTTAAGTAGCTCATCAGTTGGAGCCTGCGTGAGAGTCACCGATTACCTACAGCCCTCTTTGCAATGCTCTCTGCATGCAGGGTGGAAAGGGGTGGGAAGCCCGATGGGCGGTCTGGACTGAAAAGAACAGCACAAACGCAAATTGCTGGCCGGGTACAACATGAGGTGACAGTCAGGTGGTGGGCCAGACTCGGCGCTCTGAGTGAGAAGCGTGGTCCCTGGCAAGACAGGAGTAAGAGAGGCGAGGGTAGGGGAGGCTGTGGGTGCAAATACACCACAGAGCACTAAGTTTCTGAAACACATTTCTGCTTTTAAAATGTCTTCATCACTGGGCACTGGTGGCTCACGCCGTAATCCTAGCTATCCAGAAGGCTGAGATCTAAGGGTCACTGTTTGACACCAGCCAGGGCAGGAAACTGTTATCTCCAATAAACTACTCAGAAAAAGGCTGGGTTTGTGGCTTAGTAGTAGAATGTTTGCCTAACATGCATGAAGCCCTGGGTTTAATTCCTCAGTACCTCACACATAGAAAAAGCCAGAAGTAGCGCTGTGGCTCAAGTGGTAGAGTGCTAGCCTTGAGCAAAAGAAGCTCAGGAACAGTGCCTGGGCCCTGAGTAGAAGCCCCAGGACTGACAAAAAAAAAACTACTCAGACAAAACTGGAACTGGTGCTGTGGCTCAAGTGGTAGAGTGCTACCCTTGAGCAAATAAAGCTCAGGGACAGCAAAAAAAAATTTTAATTAAAATTAATTTTTTTTTTTTGGTAGGTCGTGGGGCTTGAACTCTGGGCCTGGGCGCTGTCCCTCAGCTCTTCAGCTCAAGGCGAGCGCTCTACCACTTGAGCTACAGCACCACTTCTGGTCTTCTGGTGGTTTATTGGAGATAGGAGTCTCACAGTCTTTCCTGCCCGGGCTGGCTTTGAACCACGATCCTTAGATCTCAGCTAGGATTACAGGCGTGAGCCACCAGCGCCTGGCAAAATTAAAATTTTTAAGTAAATAAATTCTTCATCCTGCTGGATACTACTGGCCCACATTTGTACTCCCAGCTACTCAGGAGGCTGGAATCTGAGGATCAAGGTTCCAAGTCAGCCTGGCAGAAAAGATCCATGAGACTCTTATTTCCAAAGCCAGAAGCAGAGGTGTGGCTCAGATGGTAGAGCACCAGGCTTGAGAGGAAAAAAGTTAAACAAGTTCAAGCTACAGTATTGGCACCAAAACCATTTTTTTTAAGTTTTCCCCTAAAAACCTGTATAATGTGAGGGTTAAATGTCAAGTACCGAATATCTGATTTTGCCGTTACTTTTAACTGTTTTTATTATCAATGACATTGTGCCCAGTATTGCTACTTAGGAATCGAAAGAATAGTTCAAGACAAAATAAGTAATAGAGAAAAGCCACCAGTATTTATCAGCAAATATTAAACACCTACTGCAGTGATCGGAAGATACAGGGTCTCTATGAACACAGCAGCTCCATCCTGGGGCCGTGAGGAGACACACAGGTGCAGAACAGGAGGAGCAGGGGGAAGGGCTCTGACCTGCCCTGGGGCATGGAAGAGAGTGGAGGAGGGGCACTAGAAGGAAGGTTCTAAGACATTCCACAGACAGAAGCTGAAGGCACTTCAGACTAGAGGTCCTCAAATGCTAGACTACAAAATGAACTCTAGAGGGCGCCGATGAAACAAATTTCAGCTCCAACTCCAGAGGCCCCGAGTGGGGCCCAGAAATCTGTACTTGTAACTGGCAGCTCAGGCACATGACCCAGCCAGTGACAGGCCACGGAATATCTTCAATGACGAGTAATTAACAGCCACTGAAGGACTTTAAGAAAGGAGTAGCAAGCTCAGATGCATAAATTAAGATCATCCTGAACCTATAACCTGCACAGAATAAGTGCCCCCAGGAGAAATCAAACGTGTTTGACTTACAGGACTAGGTGAAGAGAAAACCACAGAGGAGGAGAACGCAGCCTTGAGTAGAAGGAGATTCTGCCCAGCCAAGGTGGAGGGAGATGGGCAGGAAGAGCCACAGCTGTGTTTGTGCAGAGCATGCTGGGCTGAGGAGGTAATGAAGGGAACCAGCAGAGGGGCCACTACGCAGCAACAATATATAAATGACCCGGGGGGGGGGGGGGGGGGGCGGGGGGGGGGGGGAGGCCTGGGCAGGGGGGGGGGGGGAGGAAGCGCACCTCAGCAGCGGACAAAGCTTCATGGGGGCATGGGGGATGGACAGTCCTGGCCCTACCCAGCCTGCCTCCCCTGGAAACTTCTGGAGAGGATGGAGACCCCTCTCTGTTAGGGCTTTAGTTCTTATTTTAGTGTGAACATGTTAACTTAGGCTTAAGCTTTTATCTCCTAGTCCTTTTTCTCTATCAACCCCATTCTAGCCCTTAAAATGAGAAGTTCGTATTCACCACATCCCCCCCCAGCTGAGAGAGACACTGGGCGCCCTGGAGGCCTCACCTCTGCCAAGGCCTGAGATCATAAACGGTGTGCAACTAACATAATGGTCACAGGGTTTCTCCCATCTTTTCAGATTTTTGTAGATATCTGAGCCATCGCATGGTGAAATATTCCTAGCACAGAATAGTAAGGGCAGTGTTTTTATGTAAACTACAAGAGGAATAGTTAATTAACCCCTTAGGAGACATCACCACCCTGAGACCAAGTCTGGGGTTCTGCTGCCCCAGGAGAGGACGCCTCTAGCGAGACAGTACTCTCAGAGCCCAGCCCACCCTTGGCTCCTCTGTACGCAGAACACTCTCTCTGCTCTGCCACCCTGGTGTGTGGGCAATGCCAGCACCAGGCCCGCCTCAAGCGGGGGGAAGAACCAGGTCGGAGGGTCTGGTGAGGCAGGAGAGAGCAACACAGACAAGTGTCTGCCACCAAGTCCCCACCCCAGCAATGAAACTGAGAAGAAGCAAGCTTTACACTGATGTCTCTTGAAGCCCAATCTTCTGTGGAGCAAAAATAAACCTGCATCAAGTGCCAGTGGCTCACACCTATAATCCTAGCTATTCAGGAGATGGAGATCTGAGGAGCACAGTTCAAAGCCAGCCCAGTAAGGAAAGTCCATGAGACTCTTATCTCCAATTAACCACTTAAAAGAAGTGGAGCTGTGGCTCAAGTGGGAGGGCACTAGCCTTGATCACAAAAGTTCAGGGACAGCACATAGGCCCTGACTTCAAACCCCAGGACCTGCACAACAAATAGATAAATAAAATAAACTATAGCTTGTCTCCCACTCTGCGCTAGAATGTAATTCCACATGGTCACAGGACCAAGTGTACCCCAGAGGTCCTAAATACAGCTGTTGTAAATTCTCTACCTGTGCAGGAAGAAGAAAAAGACCCAGATTTTATAAAGGTAAGGGTTTAGAATCATTAAAAGAACACGCTAGTGGATACACAGTGTAAAAACGTACCGAGCTTTGGAAGGACTATTTTAAAAGTGCATGAAATGGACCTCAGGAGATAGGCAAGACAGGTAAGAGGCCACAGGGTCAGGGGATGCAGCCAAGTGGTGGAGAAGTGACTTCGTGTGCATGCTGTGTGTTTTGGCCATGGGTATGTGTTATCCACTAAAACCTAACTCAGACAAGAAGCTTCATTTTCTGAAGCAACAGCTCTGCAAGCCACACCCTCCAGAGTCCCCGGGGAACTCACTGGAGGTGCACTGCTTGGACATGCTGTCCTGCCAACAGGATCCAGAAATGGATGTCCACAATGGACCTCCATCCCCCACTTCCAATAATTTTCTTAGCTACCCAGCTCCTTCAGAGGGCTTTCAAAGGGAGAGAACGTTTTCCTGTAAATACTAGAGGTACACATGGACGTTTATAACCATGAAAAAGTGGAGAACCACAAGAGGAGCAATGAAGTCAGGGGCCTGACATTTTACCCCAAAATCTTCTTTCAAAACTGAACTCTCCACGTTGCTTCCTCCGTGAGTCTCCCTTGGGAAACAGCACGTCCGTCTCAAGTCCTTCTCCGATCATCTGGGCCTGCAGCCTCCGTGCAAACACCTACAGGACAGGGTCTGCAGCCTCCCCGGTCCCCACCAACCATGCATCCAGGTTCAGGCTTTCAAGCCGACGTTGGACCTGCGAGCTGAGGCCTGCACCACTTGCACATGCAAATCCTCTCTCTGTGAAATCAGAAACAAGCAGCTATCTCATAGAGTACCCAAAAAAGTAAGAAAGTGGACAGCATGTGTGCAGAGCCTAGCAAATGTTCACTGAGGAGGGAACCATGATGCCACTGTGCCACAGTGACATGACAGAGAATCAACAGGCCACAAGACCTGTGAAGGAGCAAACACCCTTACACAAACCAGCTGATCCAGCCTCAGCATCGCACAGGGGACAGGCAACTGCAGACGGAAGCTGACTCCAGGAACTTACATCTCGTCCCTGGCACACACAACACAGGCGTGCAGTGAGCACCTGTTGGGCACACATCCAAGATTCCCTAAGGTAACTGTAACAGCAAAAACACTTCCAATATTATTACTCAGTTCAGCAATAGTCTTCTCCCAGGATAAATTCCCACAAATAAGTGTACAAAGTTCTGTCATGAACGGTAAAGTCCTATTTCCTAATCCGTTTATAAAGACTTTAATCACTCAATGGAAGTTTGGGTGTTCCATTGTTATATTACCCAGCCTGCTTGAAATGGTTGTTCTGTTAGAGTCTAAAACATGTAAAACACGTAGACATTCTTGTTCCTTTAAAAGCAATACTTATTAGTTCAACTCTGTAGATATCCAAAACCAAATACATATTATTTCCAGTATGTTACCTCACGTAGCAAGCATCACTTGCAAATTTGATAGTATCTCCTAAAATCAAAAGAACCTATGAACTGCTTCTATTTCAGGTCTCATTTGGACTATGGATTATAAATCTTCTATTTCAGGTCTCATTTGGACTATGGATTACAAATCTTCTATAGAGCTTCCCTGCTCTATCTCTACTTGAAATTTCTACTCTGATGTTCAGATTTGTCAAAAACAAACATCTCACTCCCTTTCCCCCTTGAAACTGCACATGAAACTTCACCCATAGACCCAAGGCCCTCCGTACAGCCAGCTGTCCAACACACAATGCCTGAGTTCATCTCAGCTGGCTGCTCATGCCCCAGGGCATCAATCCACTTAACCTACATTTTAGATAGTCACTCTACATGAAGACACTGAGGTCTATGTGTTCTTTGTTGCTATTATTCCACTTAACTTTAGATAAAAATGCCTTCAATAAAATCAAACAACAGCGCTTGATAGCTATGTTCCAAAACTGAGCTAAACACAGCAACTGAAAATAAAACATATGTTTCCATTACAAAGGAATAAAAGCCATCATTACTAAAAACATCTCACAAACCCTAAGAACAGCCATCAAGGAAGACACCAAACCAACACTAGGAGAGGTTACACTTAATAGTCAATCCCACCCCAAATATGCAGAACAAAGCCAGAACACAAAATCTATTAAGTTAATCTTCTGCACTGTACACAACTTCAAGCTACTCAATGCATCTATATGCATGCACTTGCTTGTACTTAGTACTTTATGGCTATGCTGAAGAAAGTGCTGAAGACAGCAGAGAGAACAAGAGATACCCAGGCATAACAAAATGATAGTAAAACAAGATTGGAGAGCCAAAAACGCGACCTTGTCATATACTTAAATATGTATTTTAAAATACAGGAAAAGAACACTGATCAAAATGTATTATATTCATAAATTGGCATGCTGAATTGAAGCGTCTTTGTACAACTGCTTAGGGATTAAGTCTTTTAACAAAACCCAAATAAAATAAAGAAACCAGGAGTAGTGTAACATGCCTGTTACACTACTTGAGAGTCTACCTTGAGTCTAACCAAGAGAGTCTAACCAAGCACTTGAGAGTCTACCTTGAGTTATAGGCCAACCAGGGCTTCATAATAACATCCTGTCAAGGAAGAAAGGGAAAGGAGAAAGGTAGAGAAAAAAATAGAGAATCGCTTACCCAAATTTGGATCAGTAGGCTGACGTTTCTTAATCTTAGCTTCAGAAATAGCACAATAATAGGCACAGGTCATCTTGATCAGCCACATTGCTCGAACCATTGGCACAGAATACTTAGCTAGATATGCAAAAACATCCTCTTTTTTACTAAGAATGGGAACCTGTAAAGAAATAACATTTATAACCATCACATGCTATGACTGACAGACTTAAAGAGAGAAGGGAAGCAAAGAAAAAAGGCTGGACGTTACTACAAGAAAGCACACATTGGACAGATATTTGAACAGTATTTTTTTTCTTTTGGTCGTGGGGCCTGAACTCTGGGCCTGGGCACTGCCCCTCAGCTCTTCAGCTCAAGGCTAGCGCTCTACCACTTGAGCCACAGCACCACTTCTGGCTTTTTCTGTGTAGGTGGTACTGAGGAATCGAACCCAGGACTTCATGCATGCTAAGCAAGTACTCCACCACCAAGCCACATTCCCAGCCCCAAACAGTATTTTTAATGGAATACTTTAAGCCAGTGATCATTAATACAATGGCAAACAGTTTCATCAGCTGTGCTGTCTTACTTATAGAACAAATTATCTTCAAGTTCTCCAATGCTAAAAGCTACTCATCAACAGAGGAGAAAAAAATAATTTTATGACAGTTTTCCAAACAATGTATCTCAAAACTGGAAAGGACAGATCAAGTGAAAAATTGTCTCTATTCTATGTCTTATCCATGAACACTTTTTTTCCCCTAACTTCAACATTCATTGGAGTAACCATTTCCAGAAAGCTTCTCAAAAGTGCCATTGGCCCAAAATTTAAAATAGAGGCTAAGATGAAGGATCAGTGAATCTGACAAAAAAACAAAAAACACCGAGTTAGAAATAGCCAAGTAATTAATTTGCTAGTTCTTCAAGTACGCACTTGAGACAATTTTTTCTTCCAGACCACAAAGGTGGAATTTAACAAATTAGTATCCCAATGTACCACTGAATGGTTTAAAACTGTTGATTCATTCTTCCACAATACCTCATAAATAGGGTAGGAATAGCCTAAACATCCAGATAATCTACTCGATTTAGGAATGTGGAGAAACCACCAGCTGTGAGGCACCATGAAGTCATCAAGGACCAACCCCCAGGACACAGGCCTCTCCCAGGCAGGGCTCCGACTTCATTTATGAATTCTGGGAATACCAAGGCCACTCATCTAGGGCATGCAAAACAAATGGTGTATCAAAGTTATAGCAAGGGCTATTTTACTGCGAGCTTCAAGGAGTTCTTCACACCAAAAGAACACCTCTAAGCTATGGGTCCGACCCTCCTTAAGCGGGGTTGTGAAGGAATCCCGATCTCTTGGCCTCAAACTCTTAACTTGATTTTGTTCTGAAAAATAAAGGCCTCCAACCAGCTGACTTACATAGCACAACTCATCGAATCTTCATTTATACTGTAGACTTCTCTATTTGTTACAACATTTGACTATTCACACACTTGGTACTAGATGATTATAGAATTAAAAGATAATTATTTTTGACAAGGTAACTATTTTTTAATCAATGTCTTTTAATCTTTTTTTAATTTTTTATCATCTTTAAGTAGTCGTACAAAGAAGTTCCCATTCTACAAAACAGTGTTGAATACAAAGTGCCTGATAACATTGTCAACAATGTAACTATTTTACCAGAAAAATATCCATCTGTTCCAAAGCTGAAGGAAAAGAGAAAAGCTGCTTCTCTTTTCCTCCAGCTTTGGACCGATGGCCAGGTATCCATGCACTGTATTCTATGGGCAACAGAAGGGACTTCTCTGGTCACATGCAGCTCCTCTCTTGGGTGTGAACATCAGAACATGCCACCTGCAACAGGCAACTGCACTGTACAACACAACTAAAAGGAAAATAAAAGTCTCATGGGCCTGCTCTCTGCAGAAGACAGTGATTGAAGTTTTAGTTTATAAAAGCAGCTAACTTTCATGCTGCCGCACAAGGCACTAGTTTTACTTTCACTTAAGCCAGGGAAAAGTGCAGGGCTAAATATTCAGCTCAAGGCCAAAGCAGCTGCTCTTCACTGGAACATACAGTATGGGTACAAGTCAGGTTAAATCCCATCGAGATATAACAAAAGGTTAAAACATCAAGGTAAATGCAAAATAAAGTTGTCAGCTCCAAAGAGTCACCACTAAATACCTTTCCTGGCTGCCTACATTTCTTTTGAGTAGCAACTGTTAGGAAGGTAAAACATGGGAATATGTGAAATGAGGAAGCAATTTTTAAAATAAGCCCATTAACCTTCCTGCTGGCAGAGCCCTAAGAGAATTGGTGGACTCAAGTCAAGGGCCTCAGAAGCTGTAAGAACACACATATGAAAGAAGTTACTGAATTAAGGAAGAAGACACCCATCAAAGATGTCAAATCTGCAGTTTTGGCAAACTAGGAAAAGAAATGATCCTTTCACTTGGATTTCCTTACAAGGAAGCCTTTCATGTTTTTAGTGAAACAACCATCTGACTTAACTTCTAGCTGACTCAGCAATCCAGAGCTGCATCTAAGAACCAACACAAAGTCTAGATGCCTGATGTGTGTGGCTTTCCACCAACAAAGGGACTGCCCCTGGAATGCACTAACCATTAGCATCTCCTAATGGCTAAGCCGGGTACAAGCAAAGGAAGCCCATGACCCAAGCAGCCACAGGGCAGTAAACAAGGCACCAGGAGTAACTCTGCAAGAGGTACAAAAACCCCTCTGGTTGCAGGAATTTCCATTCTCCCCTAGCCAAGCCTGTGAGTGAAGGAAATATCCTTCACAGGCCCGTGGGCTTTATGTAACACAAAGTAAAAATCATGGCCCACCCCCACTCAGCAAAGTACTCAGTGTCTAGATAAGAACTCAAAGATGACTCAGGATCATGGGTTTACCTGACTTAAGCTATCTCACAGATCAATACCTTCAGATGAAGAATACTCAAGAGTATATAATCCTTTTCCCATCCAGCTCTGAAAGAGCTTTAACCACCTTCAGATGATGAAATGCTGAGGAGAAGAGGTCTGGAAATGCCCAAGAGTATTTCAAGGTATATTCAATGCTTCCACAAAATAAGTATCTACATTTGCAAGGAATTAATGTCAGAGCTTACCTAAGGAACACCTACCTGACTTGGCCAGAGGCAGCTGCTAATAAAGAAAGGACAGAACAGCAGCTAATACACTGCACCATGATCCATCTCCTAAAGATGAGACCCCTACACCTCTAGAACAGAGGCATAAGCCCTGCATCAATATTCACTTTAGGGAAACAGCCAAAAATATACTCTAAATATTTATAGTAAAGGAAAATCTAAAAAGATACCAGGTTGGCAGCACAAAGAATATGAACTGTAGTTAAAACCCATAAAACACTAAAAGGTGTCCTATCATTTACATAAGCTTTAGGTACAATCAATGGGACTTACAAAGTAAGTGTTCACTCCTGGAGATAAAGTGTTACATTGCTTAGCTGAATGGAAATAGTAGCACTGTGTGATGCCAAGTCTTGTGCTTTTCAATGATTTCAGTTGCCTTTAACCACTAGAATCTATCTAAGGCGATACAATGTTATGATAGTAGGGAACTAGATATAGAGCTAGAGCTAGAGATAGAGATAGATATAGAGATAGAGATAGATTTCCCCCACCCAGTGATGGGGCTTGAGCTCAGGGCCTGGGCGCTGTCCCTGAGCTTCTTTTCTCAAGGCTAGTGTCTCTACCACTTTGAGCCACAGCTCCACTTACAGTTTTTGAGTGGTTAGTTGGAGATAAGAGTCTGGCAGACTTTCCTGCCTGGGCTGGCTTTCAACAGCAATTCTCAGATCTCAGCCTCCTGAGTAGCTAAGATTATAGGGGCAATATAAAGCCAAGAAAAGATTGGGCACTATATTCTGAGTTACTTTAGAAAACAAACAAGCAAAGGAGCCTCCAAAGTGAGCCTATAACAGCTGGAAATGAGCTCTTACTGCTAAGAAGCAAAAACAAGAGCCCCTAACAACAAAGGGCATCAGAGAACATGAGAAAAAGACCATGCAAAGGTGTGCAACAAGGCAGAGATACAGACTATGAGGCAGATTTCTAACTTCTCAATTGGTGATGTTTGAACTGTAAGATTTTTCAACCTGTATATTAATTATACCCCAAGAAGGAAAAAAAACAAAGGCAAAGATTGTAGAAGAACCTCTTAACATACAAACTGCCCCCTCCAAAAAGAAGGCTGGCAACTATAAGAAATCTGTACATTTTGTTCAAAGCTTTTTTATAAAAGCAAGCACACGTAAAGTCAAAATCTTATTTCATTTTGTAGGAAGCAGACTTCGCTTTAAGCATTTGGATGGGTATTTTTAAAGACAAGGAAATAACCTCAAAGCAAAGGATCTTCTTATCACATCTTGGACATACTGACCTAAGGAAGCTAAAAATATAAAAGAAAAAAAGTCTTACTGCTTATTCTTTTTAAATCTCTTTTTAAAATCTTGTGTATCTAGAATCTACAGAAACTGCTGGCTGTATGGACCACTTGGATTCATTCACAGAGGTCCTGAGCACAACAAATCAACAAAGAGCACAAAGCGGACACATCTTGTATTGTATACCTGCAATTTGAGCCTCAGCTTTAGAGAGGACTAGGGAAAATAAATACTCAAACACTCCAATATATACGCAAACAGCTCAAGTTTATAAAACTATAATTATAACAATGTAAGAAGTGTTTGATACCTTTTTTGCCAAAATAGCAAGTGGTTTATTTCCTGCTAAGTCAGAGAACCAATTATGAATTGCAGTCTGAGATCGAGCTGTTACAAGCCAGTAATTATCTTTAGCATTAACTTGGGGTTTCTTCTTTCCAGTATCTTGAAAAGTGTTAAGCTTTAGTTTCTCAGCTAATATGCTGCTAAAATAAGCTCCAATCTGTAGAAAGAAGAGGGAAAAAAGAAAAGAGAAAGGTTAAAGACAATAAGCAAGTATCTCAGTACTATATATTTTAGTCCTTGAAGCCAAGCAGTGTGATCGCCACACACTAACACTAGGCAAAAAGTCACACAGCACCTCTGTTTACTATTAACAAGAAGCCAAGGAAAGAAGAGCAGTCTTCAGATATTTCTGGTAAGAAGAAATGAGTAACACTCTAAATACATTGCAAGGAATGAGTTCTGCCTCTACCTTCAGGGATACTTTCTCCCTACACACCAAACTGGAAAAAACAATTTCCCTGCAAGGTGGTGCGTACCAATGGAGACAGCCCAGCCAGACGGTAATCATTCGTGTTGCATTTCAATAGCACATATGTTTGGAAATGAAATTCTGTACTTATACTTAGTGAAGTTTTTGGAAAGTATTTATTGTAATGGAAAATTACAAAAGGTACAATTAAATTAGTTGCTTAACATTTGTACTTGGGCTGTCAATCTCTGAGTACAAGGATTTCCACAGAGGTAGGATTGCTCTGTATAGCTAACAAGACCTCAGAGAAAGCATTGTAAACTATTTTATCATTTTCGCATTATCCAAATTATAACACGGACAAAGGGTGGAGAAAAGGACAATAGCAAAGAAGACAAAGAAGGCAAGGAATAAAGTATCATCTAAGCAGTACATCTATTAAAAAAAAAAACACAATAATTGAAACCTTCAAGAATCTTATAAATGCATTACATTTCATTCTCATAGAATTTAAATAATATGATACAAACAACCACATGGTTAGCAAACAGTAGCAACTATGAAAAAGAAACAAGGGGTTGGGAAGGTGGCTCAGTAGTAGAGAGCTTGCCTTGCATGCTTGAGGCCCTGGGTTTGATTCCTCAGCACCACATAAGCAGAAAAAAAAAGCCAGAAGTGGCACTATGGCTCAAGTGGTAGCTGAGGGACAGTGCCCAGGCCCAGAGTTCAGGCCCCACGACTGGACCCAAAAAGAAAGAAAGAAGGAAAGAAGGAAGGAAGGAAGGAAGGAAGGAAAGAAGGAAGGGAAGGGAGGGAGGGAGGGAGGGGGGGAGGTGAAGGGAGGGAAGGGAAGGGAAGGGAAGGGAAGGGAAGGGAAGGGAAGGGAAGGGAAGGGAAGGGAAGGGAAGGGAAGGGAAGGGAAGGGAAGGGAAGGGAAGGGAGGGAGGTAGGGGGGGGTTAAGGAGGGAGGGAGAAAGGAAGGGAGGGAGGGGAAAAAAGAAACTATGTTTTGGGGAAGCAATCACATCTTAGTTAACAGTTATGTGGTCACAACAGCTTGTTCTCCACACTGTGATCAGTTATAAGCCATTAGCCAAGTTTATCTCCCAAGATGAAACATTGGCATAATTTCTTTTTGTGTATGTGCCCATCAGTCCTGGGACTTTAACTCTGAGTCTGGGAACAGTCCCCGAGCATTTGTGCTCAAGGCTAGCACTTTACCACTTGAGTCACAACTCCACTTCCAACTTTTTTGGTAGTTAATTGGATATAAGAATCTCACTGGCAGGGCTGGGAAGGTGGCTCAGTGGTAGAGTGCTTGCCTAGCATGCATGAAGCCCTGGGTTCAATTCCTCAGTACCACATAAACAGAAAAATCTGGAAGTGGTGTTGTGGTTCAAGGGGTAGAGCACTAGCCTTGAGCACAGAGAGGCTCAAGGACAGTGCCCAGGCCCTGAGTTCAAGCTCCAGGACCAGCCAAAAAAAAAAAAAATCTCACTGGCCTTACTGCCCAGGCTGGCTTTGAACTGTGGTCCTCAGATCTCAGCTTCCTGAGTATCTAGGATTACAGGTGTGAATCTCTGGCACCTGACCGCAACTTTTTTTAATGTGTGTTGCATTCCCTACTTCTTGTAATTGATATGTAATTTAAAAGTTTGTCTTGGATTGTTGATCTAATAAAAGCTAGAGTAAGTAGGGAAAAGATGGAGATACTCTTTTTTAAAAACGAAACAACTTCATTGCAGTTTTTATGTTTCAAGCAAATATTTGCAAAACTTCTAGTGAATAAATTAAGTGTAATTGTAAATAAGCAGGCACAAACAGCTAATTGTTTGATTTAAAATTTTTCAACTGGTATCTGCTCTCTGAACTAAGCACACCTAGAAACACAGATTGTTTGATATTTGAAAGGTCTCACATTTGCAATATAACTGAGCAATTTAATGATAATAAAGGCATAGAAATAAAAAAATCATAGTCTAAACAATCAATTGTACTTTTTTCTGAATGACAGCAATGGATTAGAATGACTACCCATATTTTGCTCCCTGCTAGGAAAGCTTTTAAACAAATGTAGACTATAATCAAAATTCTCAAGCAAAAGAAGAAAATACAATTGGGACTCAAAAAATCTAAACATGTTTATAATATTTAATGTAACTCACTTCGCCTCTGGAGACAGTGTCTTGCTTTGTAGACCATGCTGGCCTCAAACTCAAAGGTTCTCTTCCCTCAACCTCCCAAGTAATGCAGGTAAGCATTACCATAACTCAGACAGTAACATTTAAATTTTTTTCCACACATTAACATTTAGACATATTTTATCTGGTTTAATTTATGGCTTAATTTTGAGACCATGGTGTTTATTCATTTATTATTTATTCATGCATTAACTGGCATAGACAGATAACTCAGGTTTATATCATAATGTATAAAATAGCACATTCTAAAGAATAAAACAAGGCAAACAAGTATGCAATTATTAACAAGGACAAGAAGTATCTATTATCATATTTTCTTTTTTATGTACATAGTTCATGAACACTCACAGTCTGAGCTTTCCATGTCTACATATGGCTAACTTCATTTTTCATAACACAAAGTTACATACTATAATATGGCTATATCATCTTTCACTTAAGCTACTGTTAAGGAACATTTGGAGCTTCTGTTCCAAATTTGTCCTACTATGAATAACATTAAAACAAATAGCCCTTCACATCTGTTGTGCTTCAGACATATGCAGGGATAGCTTTAAGATAGATTTCTAGACCTCCAAATCCACAATTCAGAGATTTCAATAGCACTGCCAAACCGTCTTCTAAAAGAGAATGTAGTGTGTGTAAGACAGACTGGGGGGGGGGGAGGGGGCGTGGGCCTGGAAACTGAACCCAAAGCACCCCGCTTGAGCTACACCTCAAGCCTTTTTAGTTTCTTATTTTTTATTTGAGGTAATATTTCACTAACTTTGCCCAGGTTGCTTCCATGAGTAGGTGGAATTAGACTCATGCACCACCACATCTACTCTAACTTTCAAACAAGTTATATGCTTTCAAACAAGTACATTTAGTACTCGTTTTCATCCATCCAAAGCTATTTGGAACGTATTTTATTTGGTAAGAATATGGAAAAGGCCTAATTAGGAGTCATACCATCATTCATAGGTTTCATATGTATAAAGTCCAATTCCCTTAGAAGACTTGCATCCTTGAGTAAATCTCAAAGAAAACTTGATAGAAACGGTTGTAAATGCTGTTTAAGTTATTTAATTTGACATAAAACGACATTGAGAACCAAGGATGATTAGCTGTTCACATCAAGAGATAAAGCATCAGGCTGAGGCCGGTGACTCACACCTGTAATCCTAGTTAACTCAGGAGGCTGAGTAAGCTGGCTAGAGTAGGAAAGTCCATGAAACTCTTATCTTCAATTAACCACTAGAAAACCAGAAGTGGTGCTGTGGCTCAGAGTGGAAGCCTTGAGCAAAAAAAGCTCTGAGACAGCACCTAGCCCCTGAGTTCAAGTCTCATGACTGACAAAAAAAAAAGAGACTGACTGATCGACAGGCCGGCAGGCAGGCAGGCAGAGACAGACAGACAGACAGACAGACAGACAGACAGAGAGAAAGCAGCTGTAGTTTCTAGCATGACCAATTGTGAATAACTCCCGAAGGTCCCCCCTGGAGTCTGACACTCAGGTGACTGCATTTCAACACCAGGCTGCTGATTTGGCTTAAGGTGAACGGAGATCTTAAGGCCCAGGGACTAACCAACATGAAGTTCTCTTTGATAGGAGAAGGAAGACACACACAAAAGTGGAAATACCATGTAATGACAGAGACAGGACAGCCATAGAAAAGCCTCACAAAGGTGGGGCTGTAGCTCAGAGGTGTGTTTCCCAAACATGGAATGGGTAGGAGTTTAATCCCAGAACCACCAAAAGAAGTCTAATATGTGGAACTGCAGTGCCTGGCAACTGGCTAGACTATTCTACAAGGGCAGGCATGAAAGCCTTTTAAAAACACAGCAAGTTGCACAGGACGCTATCCTAGACTGAAGTAACAGACACAAACCCTGGCTACACCAGGGACAACCCACAGAAAAGAGGTTTGAACTTGCCATGAGGGTTGAACACCAGCAAGTTATCAGCATTCACCATGGAGGATATCACAAGCGTGCAGAATTCAGAATTCTAGGGAACAATCTTACCTTTGATGGGTTAATGACAATGTTCCTGGCAGAGCCATGTTCATCTCCAGTGAAGGCTGGCTGGTTGTTGAAGCCTTGCTTTACATTCACAGCTGTGAGCTCATCCTATTCAAGAGAAGGTATTGAGTAAGCAGAGGATGGAAAGCTTCCACTTAATCCAAACATTGTGGCCTGAATAACAGCTGAGTCTGAGTCTGTTTCTTCTTTGCAGAAGCTAAAGTTCAGAAATCAACAGAAAGAGATGTGGCACACACTAACAAAGCACTGACTTGGTGTATTGCACATGGCATTTGTTACTCCAGCCTGTCACCTGCTCTATGAGTGTGGAACCAGAACAAGAAAACCAAAATGATGGGGCTGGGAAGGTGGCTCAGGGATAGAGTGCTTGGCTAGCATGCATGGAGCCCTGGGTTCAATTCCTCAGCATCACATATACAGAAAAAGCCGGAAGTGGTGCTATGGCTCAAGTCGTAGGTAGAGCACTAGCCTTGAGCTGAAGAGCTGAGGGACAGCACCCAGGCCCAGAGTTCAGGCCCCACGACTGGATCCAAAAAAAAAAAAAGATTACATTCCCAACACACATACCTACTCACAAAATCAAACCAGGCACATGGAAATGAAATACTATCTTCTAAAACATAGACCAGGAGAAATTTCAAAGCCACTAAATAACAAACACTAGATGAAATGTTGTCTAAAAATATTTAAGTACAATATCAAGATTGCCTTAAAAAGCTCTCAGACTGTCATACTGGATAGATCAAGGAAACTCTTACAAGCTCACAGCACACCAAAAACAGTCTAGCCACACATATATGGAGATAGGTAGGTAGGAAGGTAGGAAGGTGTATATATGTGTGTGTGTATGTGTGTGTGCGTGCGTGTGCGTGTGTGTATGTATATGTATATGTATACATATACATATATATGTATATATAGAGAGAGAGAGAATCTCTTCCTTGTCCTGACCAGATTATCCCTGAGACCAGATTATCCCTGATTTATGGTACTAAATCAGAATCCCTAAAAATATAGACTGGAAAAAAAACAACATGGGCAATGAGTTGGAGGAAATGAGGAAAACTTCTGCTCCCCTCAAGAAATGGTGTTAGTGACAGCTGGACTAATGGTCACGCAGAGCAAAAATATGAACACACTTATTCTTCATAAGTAACTAAGGTGTGTGTTAACATGAAAGGGGGAAAAGCAACTAATCAAAACTGCTATGACATTTAAACACCTGACCGGTCTGCAAAGGTCACCTTGGATGAGAATGAGATCTGCTGGAGACAAGCCATGTAACTTAATTATGTGTGCTCTTACTAATAACTTGGCAGGTTGCTGCTTTGGCAGGCTTTCAAAAGACCCCACAATAGGAAATGCAGCTCTAGGGTAACAGAGTCTCCTCCCAGCAGAGAAGGTCACTGAAATCATGATCTGCACAGAGATTAATTGTCTCACACATAAGAAGACATCTCAATCTGCTCCTGCATTTTTCAAATTAATTATTCAAAAATGTAGAACATAACTATATAATGCATATTTTTAAGTCAAGAAGGTTTCATTGAATCAGTTTAAATAAAGCAAATATACTGAGTCAATTTGCTTAGCCTGAGGTGGTCAGAAGTAGAGATACAAATAGATTATGAAGGTAATATGACAAAAAAATTAAATGTGCCTTTATTTTTAATTTACCAGTAGAAATTATTACAGGAAACATTAATCAAGTAACAGCATATGTTTTTACTAAAAATGTGCTGTAACTTAATCAAGAGGAAGTAGGTGAGACTTTCAGGATCAGTTAACTCTACACAGTTCTGCTGCTCTGAACTGAGCACGCTCTTTTACTACTCACTTCACTTGACTACTAACCACTGTCAGTCAGCTGCCTACTTTAATAAAAGAAGATTAAATCTAAGTGTATCACCCTGCTAGTCTATTCCCAAAAGTTTTTGCAACGAATAAACTGAGTTAAGAATTACCTTCAAAATGCACTGAACTCATAAACTGATTTGTGAAATAATTCCTTTGTTAGACTTAAAGATAATTTTAAAAAATCATTAAAAACAAAGAAGCTTCAAATTCCAGTGTTCACTACTGCTGGTTTAGACGGCATTCCTCAGCTTCCGGTGGAAGCGCCCACAAAGTACTGTTTAGAGGAAAAGCATTCTCTCCAACCTGAAGGTATCTATAGATATCAATTTGACATTGGCTCAGGGCACAGATTCTTAACGGCATCATGCAGATTTAAGAGATTCAGAACAAAAAATGTGTGTTACATGAGTCCAAACAACCAATTTTTATAACACTGCTCTACAGTTCTTAGCCAAGTCTAATTAGGTAAACAGGAAAAGAGAAAGTCTAGATTGGGAACAAGCATGATTCTAAAACCCCCAAGCCAAACCTGAAGAAAACAAAAAAACAAAATCAAAAAACCCACAAATACCTTCCTATTGCACTAGCCTTGAACCTATTCAAGTCTTTTTCAAATAAAAGAGAATCAAGCACCAACGTTCTTACAAGGGCTTTCCTTACAGAAGTTTAACCCTCTTCTGCCATGGGTCTTCCCTGGCCCACAGTTCTTACAACAGAACCATCTGCCAGCTGCTCTGCACATGTGCACAGGTAAGACCTCAGGGCACACAGCCGCCAGCAGGATCTATTCTAGGCTCTACATCAGCAGGTTTGAACTTTTCCCATTGAAAGGACTCTTCAGGAAGGGTTGAAACTTTTTCCATTGTACAGGAGGGGAAAGCATTTCTAATAACAGCAGGGGAGAGAGGTAGCCATGAATTCTGATATGTATTTCTTCCAACAGCATTTAGGGCAAAAAAAAAAAAAATTGTACACACTGTGTGAGACCAAAATATTCAGCCAAGAGGCAAGCGGGAGGTGAGAGCAGACTGGCAGTCGTCCTGTCTGGCACCTCTACCCATGGACGCCACACAGACGCTGCTGGCGTAACAGACTCAGTGCCAACAGGACAGCCACAACACTGAGAAAGAGAACTCCTGACAACCACTTCACCTAAAAGACCAGCTTCAAGGCAATTTTTTCCAGTCCTGGGAATCGAACTCAGGGCCCAGGCTCTGTCCCTGAGCTTCTTTTCCTCGAGGCTAGCCTTTAAGGCAATTTCTGAGACAGACACCTACAGAAAAACAAAACCAAAGCCCACATTAATGCAGAAGGTTCACGCTCCTTCACATTTCTTACTGATAGAAAAATCAGACCTTTAATACTTGTGGTACATTACAAATGGACTCATCAATATCACATTTACCTTGGAGTTCAGAGAATTATCCTATTTTTGGATCACTTTCAAAGCAAACTTTAAATTTCAATAAAATATTTCATCAATAAAGTGAAAACATTTTGATGGTAATTTAGAAATTGCTCAAGTTCCTTCTCACGCAAAAAAAATAAAAAGAGGGCTGGGAACATGGCTTAGTGGTTTGCCTAGCATGCTTGAAGCCCCGAGTTCAATTCCTCAGTACCATCTAAATTTAAAAAAAAAAGCCAAAAGTGCTGTGGTCAAGTGGTAGAGTGCTAGCCTTGAGCAAAAGAAGCTTAGGGACAGGCCCTGAGCTCAAGTCTCAGGACCAGCAAAAAATGAAATTTAAATTTAAAAAAGGAAGCTGAGCACTGGTGATTTATACCTATAATCCTAGCTACTCCAGAAGCTGAGATTTGAGAACACAGTTCAAAGCCAGCCCAGGCAGGAAAATTCACAAGACTTTTATCTCCAACAAACCATTTAGAGAAAGATGTGGCTGAAGTGGTAGAGCACTAGTCTTGAGCAAAAGCAGCTCAGGAAAAGGACCCATGCTCTGAGTTCAAGCCTCAGAACCAGCTAAATAAATATATAAATAAATAACAAAGTTTAACACAAACTCCAATGATCCTCTCAAAGGCAAGAGAACAAAAACAGGTACACACAAACATACACACAATCTTCCACCCTCAACATCTAATACTTAAAATGTGCAAAAAGTCCGAATTTCCTCAGTCACTTTATTATCTAATAAACTCAATTATAATCCAATTAGACAGAAATAAATATCTACCAGGAAGTAGAAAAACGGCACACTATATGCTAGCTAACCAGACAGGCAGAGTTAACTGAGATCCTACCTAGAACTAACAAAATTACTTTTCCTAAACTTATCTACCTTTCCTTCCAAAGAACAGCCCCCAAGGAGGGGTATGATAATCTCCATCATGGATACATTTTGTGGTCATAGCAGTGAGTATGGGTAACGGGTATAGAGCAAATGAGCCAGGAGATAATGGGAAAATCTTTCGCCTCCACAGCTCATCGTTAAACAATCCTGTCCATACATCTCTCAAAATCTGTCTCACACTCCTTCCTTTCAAGCACTAGTTTGTGGCCACTAAGACAGCAGGGTCTGGCCACTGCTTCTTACTCCTCTGATCTGGATGCGCCGCCAAACACCATTTCTTTATGCACTACCTTTTCCAAAAGCCTCAGAAGGTTTTCTCCTTCTATTCTCCCTGGAGCTAAAACAACAAATAATACAACTCTCTATAGACCTACATAACACCTCTGAGCATTCTTCCACCTGACCCTGGCCCCAACTCAAAACACAATTTCCTAGGACTTGAACTATCAAGGTAAGTATTTCAGTCTGGTTTCTAGTCTAAGTGTTGGAATCACAGAGATTTGTGTTAGAATACAGCGCCCCTCACCTAGTACAAGAACATGGTCACGAACCTAGGACTGGAACACAGTACCCAATCTCTCTGTACCTCGACAGGAATAACTCCTTGGGCTAAGGTTACATAAGATGACATATGCAGAGCTCAGCACAGTGTCTGGTCCATTATTAAGTGTCCTATAAATGGTAGCCACTATTATTACAGCTGTTTCCTATTTTTATATTTTAACTGTTATTTCTTCTACTTGACTATTTTATACCAATCCACACACATAGTCTTTTTGACTTCTAAGCACTAACATCCTGCTATATTTTTATGAAATCCTTTTCACTTTTCAAGCCACAATCCAGTGTTCTCTGTCATTCCATCAACATGGAATTACAAACACAGCAAAGGCTAAGAACTGGAGACTACACAGTAAGCAAATG